TTGCACTTTTGACATGCTTTTGAACTGCTAGGTTGGCAGGAGCAAGGACCGAGCAACGGGAGCTCACCACGCCGCAGGGATTCGAACCGCTGACCTTCTGATCGGCAAGCCCTAGGCTCTGGTTTAACCCACAGCGCCACCCACGTCCCTACTCAGGAATATGCATATATATATCCAATATACATACTTTGCTGATATCATCAGTGACCTTGCGGTGATACACAATATCCAAGGCATCTTTCACTGTGTGGTATTTACCCTTGGCTTTCTCAAATGTTTCTTTGTAGCGCAGCTGATAAAAACAAAATAAAACAAAAAAGTATGAAGGCATCAGTTTTAAAATGTAGCAAACATTATTTTCACATTTTCCTCAGAGGTTGTAATAGACAGGTAGAAAAAGCAGACCATCAAGTCCGCTTTATGCATATTATAAACAGCCAAGCAATCCTAGCTTACTCCATGGTGCTCCTTGTAAATGTAAATCCTACTCCCCATTTAAGTATAGCTTTAACTTATTTAACTTTCTATTATAACCCGAGTTTTGCATATTCTCCTGTCTATTTCAAGACAAGAGTCCAGATCAAGAAACCATATTATCTAACTCCCCCCCTCCTCAATTTCTTCATTCTTCTTCTGCTGCCAACACAATTATACTCAAAAGTATCCATGTGGACAGAAAGGGTTGCGTCCAACTGAAACATGGTCAGAGCAGACCCACTGGAACATGACTAAAGTCCATTGGTTTTAGTGAGTCTACTCTGAGTATGTTTTAGCTGGATAAAACCCAAGAAGCCAGATTCGACTAGCCTAGTGCAAGGACTCCCACCAGTTCAATGGGGCATTCTCCTTCCCCTTGCATGCCCCCCACCTTTCCTAAATCTGTCTTGGAACATCGAGAGAACCCACAGCCTAGTGCCCAGGAGGAGGAGAGGAGAGACTGAACAAATTAGTATGATGTTGATCTTTACCCCAACAATCTTGTGTCAAAACAGATTTATATAATTTTTTATGCATTATTTGTATTATGTTAGTATGTAAGATTTCACAGGCAATGAGAAATAGACTCCATATGAATGTCAGACCAAAGAAACTTGATCTTATGTGCAGTTGGCTCACTCCTCTGTGCCACTGCTTCTCAGGAAGAACTCCGTCACAATTGTTATAGAACTATGAATAGTTGTCTAATGGCTCCTGACTCTTTTGATCCCTTTCCATATTAAAAAAAAATGCACCATGAGTATATAAGCCATACAGAGCTAGAGAATAATCCAAATAAGTAAATGATCTAGAAGAATTCTCACTGGTTTCAGGTTCAGTTCACAGACCTTGCCTGAACATTACTCTACATTCATATCTAGACCACATAAAAAACCCCAAACCATTCCATTTTCATCGGATACTTACATCACTGGCATTCAAGTAGGCCTTCTTAGCTCTAATCAGGATTGGTGTATCAGCGACAGTTACATACTTGTGCTTCAGTTTCTCATATTGGGATTTGTATTTATTCTAAATTAAGCAGGGGGAAATGGAAGAAAAAAATAAGTTCACCAAGGTGCTCACGCGATACAGCATTAACTGCATGCAAGTGGGCACTTAAAAAGACACTCGGATGTATGAGTTAACTAAAATAAATTTATTCATCATGCCAACGATTTGTTTTTCCTTCCAATAAAGTCAGCTAGAGGCCTGCGGCTGGTATATTCACTGGCAAATTGCAAAGCATACCACCCTAATCTGCAGACAATCTCCCTGCCATTTCCATGTGTGCCCTTCCCGCCTCTGTGATGCTTGCCTAAATCAGCCTTCTCCAATGAGGTGCCATCCAGCTGTTTGGGGCTACAGCTCTCATCAGCCCCAGACAGCATTGCCAGCAGTCAAGGATGATGGGAATTGTAATCCAATCAGGGGCAGAGGAAGGGGGGTGCAGTGGGGGCAGTCCACCCTGGGTGTCACCACTGAGGGGGGTGACAAGATGCCCAGCAGCACTCACCGTGGGGCCTGCAGTGTGCCCAAGCCACGTGTCTCTCCTGGGAGTGACATGGTGGCTCTGCGCTGCCCCAAATGGTCTGCCCATTGTCTCCCCCTCAGCTGCAGGGCAGCTGAGGGGGATGAGGCAGGCAGACTCCTCAGAGGCCCCACGGAGCATCCTGCCCCAGCTGGCCCCGTCCCTGGGTGCAGAGCACACACGCTGCCCCAAAGCGCCCAATCGGCTTGTTCCGCCGCTGAATCCAATTACATTTGCCAGATGACCTCTCACTTAAACGCCACCCCCGGAAATGAACAGTACAGAAGAAACCGATACCTAAACGGAAAAAGTAAACGAATAAAAACAAAGCTAGGTTGTGGCTTAACACGTATGAACAGCAGATTTAATAAAGATTCTGTAAAACAGTTTTGATACACTGCATTGAATGTGTTTGCCACACTCATTGTCTAGTCTAGACTTTAATGGTATGGAGTGTGCAGTCTGTTTGCCATAGTAATAAAAAGAAGAGAAGGAAAGGTGCTCAAATCTTACCTCACTGACCAAGTCCTTCACATGCTTAGCAAGTTTCAAGGCCGGTGTCTGATCCCCAGCATGGTGATGGGGTCTTTCCTTGGTTGCAAGTTCGACGTACAAGTACTGGAGAAAGAGAAGAACCATAAATTGTCAAATTATGCTCCACACACACAAGAGGCCTTGGATATAAGCGATTCAGTCCTTCGCTCACTGCTTTTTGCAAACTGAATCAGTATATTCCTGATTCAGTATATCCATTCTGACTGGCAGCACCTCTCTGAGGTCTCAAGAAGAAATCCTTTATTGCCCTGTTATCTTTAGACCATTTAATGAACGATGCTGATGAGACCTTCTGCACGCAAGGAATGTGCTCTATCACTGAGCCACAGCCTCTTCAACTTAATTTTCCCCCCCAATTAATTTTTATTGATTTTCAAAATTTTAACATGCAATTAATTCAAATTTAACATAAATTTTAAAAGTTGGTTTCCCAGCCCTTCACCCTTGATGCTTCTTCACCCACCCTCCTTGCTGCACTGTATAACAGTATTTTTATCTCTTTCCCAATTAAGACAAATAACATTCCTGGAGGTGGCAGACACCCTGAATAATCTACTAGGTAATGGGGACAATTACAAAGCACAGGAAACCATCTAGGCTATGACAAAGGACAGGAAATGATTTGTAATTGTATCCACACAGTTTCAAAGCACATATTGATGGGAGGAGGAAGAGCTCTGAATATATCCATTTTGATGTGCTGAACAGATTCAACAGTGGTAGTTGGTGCTGCAGTCACATGGCATAAGCTCCAGTAGGAGACGATACAAAATCTGGCAAGTTCTTCATTCCTTATTGGAAATGAAGAACGGCCCTCCAGCTGTTTTGGGACTACAATTCCCATCATCCCTGACCACTGGTCCTGTTAGCTAGGGATGATGGGAGTTGTAGTCCCAAAACAGCAGGAGGGCCACGTTTGGCCACCACTGCCTTATTACTTTGACAACATTAGAAGAAGATTGGAGAACTGTGCCAGAGTTATGTTTTGACGAGGTTTCAATAATATTACAGTTAGTGTTGGGGGAGAAATTCAGTTCAGTTAGTATTTTTAAGTGAAATTAACTAAATCTCACTTCCTCAAACGGTACACAAAGCCAAAGACAGCTATCCTTTGAAAGCAGCACTTCGCTGAATTTTGCAATGGAGTTTTCCTACCAAATAGTGGGCCGGTTCACACCCAGCACTAAACTAAACCATGGCTAAGCTCAACACACATAGGCATGCAGGTTCCCAGAGTGGAGATTGCAATTGCATCGCTCCTGTTCTGTTCCTGTGGCTGCCGTAAGCCAAGACATAGTTTGGCTCCGCATGCTATTTAAACCCAGGCTCAACGTTGCAAAAACATATGTGTCAAGAGAAATGTGCGCTAAGATACTGACATATTCATGCAAAGGCAAATTGAGGTGGAAATATGGAAAACTGGACTTAAGCTTGGCAATATGAGAAACAGACAGAAACCAAAGCTGACAGATTCGTCCATCCACCCCTAAGTGCAATGGAAGTTTATGAACATATTGATTACCTATCAATATTTACTAATTTGGGTGGAAACATTTGTTAAGGATATGGTGCTATCACAAAGACAGCTTGTATAATGAATGGGCAAGTGCAGATTGCTTTGTATCAGACGCCCCAGAAAATATCTAGAAAGAGTTGTGCATTATCGAATGAGAATTCCGCATGTACTATCCAGCTTCATTTCTGTTCAGTAATGGTTCTTACCTTACTCTGTAGTTTTTGCCCTCTTTTGGCCCTGTTGAAATCTGGTGTATCAAGGATAGATGTGTACTTGGTCTTTTGCTCCTTGCCTGCAGCTCTATACACAAGCTAGAAAGAGAAACAACAATGCACTTTCGTCTTCCATAGCCAACCTTTACAGCACAAGTATATTAGAAAACAAAGAGAGTTAATAAGCTGACAGTGAGCAGAAGGAAGTCTGATGTGGTTGACTGACAGAATCTGTCCTTACTGCTAACTGAACTGGCATAAGCTTATCACACCCCATTGTCATTTTTACTGAAAGCAGATTATTGAAATTGCTGGATCTAACATAGCCACATCCGTTACTTTCTGTGGTTCAACTCTGAGTGAATCCGAGTTGAATATCACCCAATGTGATTAGAAGACTTGACCCTCCACAAGTGCTTTATGACAGCTATTTGAAAAGTCTACAAATCGCTGCATACAAGATATTGTTTCGATAGCTTGGTGTTCTTGTGCGGGTTCCCCACAGGCATCTAGCTGGCCACTGTGAGAACAGGATGCTGGACTTGATGGGCCATTGGCCTGATCCAGCAGGTTCTTCTTATGTTCTTACATTATGAACTTGGAGCTCCCTTGACATCACTGCTGCTTCTCACTGCCCTATTCCTATCCCAGCAAGTGGCAGCACTGCTAGTGGGTGCCTGAAGCTCCATACACACACCCTCCACCTCACACAGCTCAGTCAGTAAAGCATGAGACTCTTACTTTCAGGGTTGTGGGTTCAAGCCCCATGTTGAGCAAAAGATTCCTGCATTGTAGGTGGACTAGATGGTCCTTGTGATTCCTTCCAACTTTGCAGTTCAACTGCAAATCATAATCCTATTATTCTATATGCTGCTGCTGGCTGTAAAACTAGCTCAGCCAAAATATTCTGCATAGCATGAACCTTAACCGTGGTCTCTTGCTAAAGAACAGAGAACTTCCATCGTGCTTCTCTTCATCTGCAAGTCTACTTTAGAGCAGCTGCCGCAGAAGCACACTTAAAACGATCCAAGCATCCCTTTAAATTCACTTTAAAATGTTTCAGTGCAGAAAGGTTAAAGAACATCAATCTTACATCACTCAAATGGGTCTTCAGCTCCTGAACAGTCCTGTACACGGGAGTGTCCAGAACCACACGATATTTATCTTGTGACTTCTTTGCAGCTTCAGTGTAGACATAATTAGACTGAAAAAGAAATGTGCTTGTGTCAAAAGAACATGCAGTCTCCATCAGACAGACAACAAAACTTTGAATCCTAACAAAGAAGATTAATGAAGTCACAGCCCCTTGCTATAACTCCACAAGAATCTCTGGAATGTACAGGTTAACAGTACAATGTAAAACATCACTTTAGTTGCTTTGTAAGTGGGCCATAACATAACATCCATTCAAACACATTAGGGTGGCTTCTGTAGAAAACATTAGAGCCAAGTCACTAAGCATAGAGCAACAATATCTTAAAATCTGCACCCATACATCCAGTAGCGAACCTTGGGGCCTCAAATTTCAGTGGGATGCCAAAATTCCACATGCCCCTACTTCTCACCTTCCATTCTACATAATAGCTGTGGCACCCCATGCAACCATAATCTGCCTCTGATACATCTGCTTCTCTATAGCTGTAAACAGGAAGGAAGTGGGGGAGGTGTGCTATGGAAGAGATACTAATCAGCACACACATTTGAAACTGTAGCTCATGATTTGGCACACACAGTGGTTCTGTTAGTCCAGTTGTACCAGCAGAAACCAACACAGGAATGGGCGCAAGTCACATGTAGATTGCAGGTGTTAAGTTCACTGATTGCACACTCTTGCTACTTGCAAAGGACAATGTCCATGTTCAGACATCATGGCAAGCCTGCTTACTATGCACAACCCAAATCAAGCCGCCTTTGCTCTTGTTCAGACATCATGGCAAGCCTGCTTACTATGCACAACCCAAATCAAGCCGCCTTTGCTCTTGCTCACTCCTCCTAGCTTGTGCCAGGAGATAACAAACCATAATTCCAGAGATCATTGTTTTGTTTTGTTCCAATAAAGCACAATCAGTAAGCCAAGAATAAGCCTTGGCTAGAGATCATGGTTTCTTGGGAAAACAAACCATAAACCCTGATTTGGATGTAACAGGAAGCCAGGAATTGTGGATCAAAGCACAGCAAAGTGGGACTGATTTTGCTCATGCACAGTGTTTATGTCTTACCGTGATGCGTGAACAGAGTCAGTGATGGGGTGGCACTTTTAGTTACTAATGAACATTATGACAAAGGACTGCTGTGGGATAAAGAGACCCAACACATCTAACCAAGGATAGGGCCTCACTTCCAAGAACAATGTCCACAGCATATCTAAACTTTGGTATGGCATTGCCTAGTCTGATCTCATGCCCAGCATAGTACAGTTCACAGTTTATAGTGGGAAAGAACCTCACTTTTAAATATAAAAAGGTATAACTTACATCAAGTCAAACCAATCAAACAAACAACAAACAGCAACACTTGAAAATGGTAGTGTTTCACCTCTTGATTATTTGTCAGCAAAAAATTAAGGAGTCATCCAACAGAGATGGTCATGGAAAAAGAAACATACCCAGAGCTTGCGCAAATGTCGAGCACGGACCATATCAGGGGTATCATAGAGGAAGCAGCCCAGGCCTCTCAGCCACTGCAGATCAGTTTTATATTTAACCTGCCAAACAATGATAAGGATGTAATACCATATCTATTACATAAATAAACCATCATATTATGTGTTATAATCATAGTGTTTTGAATAATTATGCAATAACTAAATAGTTTTAAAAGATGGCAAAGAAAAGATGATAAAGAAGATAGAATGAGTGAATGAGACACACACACGCACAGAGAGAGAGGGAGAAACTAAATAAGAGTAGGAATTGAGCCACTAATGCTACTAAGTCCAAAAGCTTACATCGCTTGTGATTTCTCCAACGTAACGGTTATGTATCGTCTCCGGAGTATATGGCAAGGAAATCATGTGCCCCTGCATCTTGAAGAAGTCAGTCTTGTAGATCAGCTGAGATACAAAAACAAAGGGGTTGGGTGGAGAATTAGGGTGATTTTTCCCCATCACATCAGACATTACTGGAATTTGTCTATTTATTTATTTTTAAATGTATAAGAGAGGCATACATCACTGATGGATTCCTGGTTTGTTTTCACTTGGCGAATTTCAGGTGTGTCGGGCGTGGTATGAATCTTATCTTTGTTTTTGTGATATACTTCCCTATAGAGCCTCTGTAACAAAAGAGAGGGAGTTATTGCACATGGTGCTGAAACCAATAAAACAAAAGACACCCTGATCTAGAATTCCATGGCCTGCCTACCACTGCTGGGAATCCTGCAGGCAATACTTCTGCTCACCTGCCCATTCAGTCAGTAGAACATGCTACTCTGCACCATCAGAGTGAGGCTGGCATAAGTCCATGAATGGAGGCCTGCAGAGCTGAGTAGAGGGATATCTCAGCCCAATCCAATCCCCCAGTGCAAAAGAGGTTTGAACTGCAACAGCAATTTCTTGGGAGTAAGCCCCATTGAACTCAGTAGGACTTACTTCTGAGCAGGCATGTGATTGTGCTGCAAAGTCTACCTTTGACAGCGAACATTTGTTTTCTTTCTTGCAAAACAACTTCCTATTTCTTTTGCTAATTCAAGTAAGTATGCTCCTTTAATTTGCACTCTGGAGCAAATTGGTTAAGTTTTTGCCTGGTTATGGGATCTTCTCTGTTCACATTGCTTGGCCAGTTTGGCCAGGCTCTAAGATTTCAATGAGAGTGACTAGAATTGCACATTGGACACTGACCACCCGTAACAAGGCAGGAGCCTGGAAATATACTGACCTCAGTAGGGAGAATAAAACTACCATAAGTCTGTATCTCTTTCTACCCAGGCCCAGGTAGTGAATCAGGAAAGTTGTAGCAGCATTGCCCATGAAGAAGGAACCAAAGAGTGCTTCACACTTGATCTCATGGGATCAGTGTAAGTGTGCCCCTTTCATTACATACCCCAATAACAAACATTTATAATAAGGGGAGAGTCATCATTCAAACTATGTTTACATTTAAGTCATTAACTATAAAAAAAACTTACGTGCTTATTAAGAGATTTTACAGAACATGGGGTCCTGAGTGTCTGACAAAATCATACCATGGTTTTATAATGAGTTGCATAAGATTCCAACAGTGATCTTATTTTTTAATTTTTGCATCATCAAGTACCATATAAATGCCAGTTTCCTTAAATACTATTCACATTACCTCATTGAGAATTTTGTTGACTTTCCTTATGTTTACAAATGGAACAGCTTTGGGTCCAAAATTGTAACCTTTATCCTTGATGTGTTCATAGACTTCCTTGTATTTCAGCTGAAATCATACAAAAAAAAATCAGAAAGGTATGTATTTTAGACACAATAGCTGTTTATAATAGAACCTAAAAATGAAGTCATACCATTTAGCAGAACATGAATATATACTTACATCCATGCTAACTTTTAAGGTATCTAGGATTGTAGTTAAGCCCTCTTGCCCATTTCCTGATACCTCCCCATTCCCTTTCCTTGCCTTATTAACACCCCCCAAGATCCTATGGTTTGGTTGCATTTTCCCATTTTTATAAAATAATATAAAATTTATATGGTCATGTTTTCAATAAGTATAATATTGCAACCACAATTTTTGTAACTGAACATGTATCTATTTATTCATGCAACTATATTTATTTGGAATAGTAGTATGAGTTAAAAAACGATCCACCACTCACATAACTGCCAAGGTATTGGGCATGTTTAGCATGCTTGAAACCAGGGGTATCTGGTGGGAGTTTGTATCCAGTGGGAAGTGCATGCCAGCCAGCTTTTCGGTAGAGACCCTGCCAAAGAAAAGAAAATTCATGACAATGTTTAAATACTGATTTTGCAATGAAGTGCAACACTATGAATACATTCCCTCTCAATTAGGTATTGAGCATTCATTCTCATTTGCTTGGGGGTGGTTATATGATATTGTGTCAAGCGGTGGCTATCCCATACTTCCTGTTGCTTTCCTTTCCACAAAAAGTCTAGGGTTGTTCTTGTTGTTTTAATGGATTTGTTGCACAAGAGCACCAATAATTGCTCAACTTGAATTTTCGAGTATGCACTTGAACCCCACCCACAAAGCAGGGAAAAACTGGGGGTAGCGCCAGCCCCAGCACTTACTTCATTCTGTATCCTGTAAGCATGAGTTGCCCGCTCCAAATCCACCGTCTTATCTGTTGGGGTGTATTTCCCTTTGACATTGTGCACATAGTCATGGCGGTAAACGGCCTAAGGAACATAGAAAATGTAAAACGGATGCTGAGTGATACAGCAAAAGCTTATGTGCTGAATATGGGCTGGGCATAAATCTGGAGAAAGCAAAGTATCAGTAACATTAACAGTAATAGTAATAGTAATTTGTACCCTGCCCATCTGACTGGGCTGCCCCAGCCACTCTGGGCAGCTTCCAGCATATATAAGACCATAATAAAACATTACACATTAAAAACTTGAATGCTGGGGTAGAGGTATGGCACCACCCAACCACAGAGGTATTGTGGGGATTAAAGGAGGAAAAGTGAGAGCCAAGTACACCACTTTGAGTTCCTCAGAGAAAAAGGTGAGCCGCCAATGCAATAAATAACTAAATAATAAAACAACAAATAAAATAGGAATCTGAGTACAACTGTAAACTGGATCTGGTGATTAAGCGGGGTGGATGGC